GCATCCTCCTTCTCACATGGAGGCAAGACGCCCTGAGGATAGCAATCGACTCGCTCCACCAGTACACCGGTCTATCGCCATGCCTGGGATAGGCTCTCCTAGGCATGGTTGTATCGCACGCCCTTGTCAGCGATGCTACCAGTTCTTCCCCCGTCAGATCCGGGGTTATTCGCTCCCGCCTCAGTGCTTCGCCGAAGACCTCTTCATCAAAGAACGACGTCCGCCAGCCTCGAACGCAGGAAGGATTCCCTCCTGCCACTTGCCTCTCACCTAGCCCCACACTGTAGCGAATCGCCTGATGGTCACTATGGGTGTAACCCTCATCGACCCTCCAGTGTAAGTTGCCCTCCAAACACGAGCTGCAGTACGTCACATCAATGACGGATTCTGCACCATTCCTTCTGTAGGTACTGACCGAGCCGGTGTTGGCTAGTACAACGCCCAGTTTGGCCATTTGGCCAGTAGGATGCATCCTCTCTGGTTGGTGTGATGGCTGCCCCACTCCACCGCTCATGCGTTAAGGTCGCCCGCAATGACCACCGGTCTTAGTCCGACAAGTACCGCAGTGAGTCTGTCCACCATTTGCAAGAACTGCTCGATAGACCACCTAGGCGGAGCATAACAGCTACTTAAATATACTCCATTAACCCTGGCGATCACGAATCCCTCGCTCGAGTTGGACGAGACTACCTCCTGAACGAGGAAGCTCCCCATCGTGCATATCGCCGCCATCCCCAACGCGTCCGTCACCTAATTCTCGTTGCCGGATGGGACGCGGTACGGGTCGGAGATGATTGCGACATCCACTCCCCATTCCGCTGCCGATTTCCATGCTGGGCAGCCGAGCAGTGCAGTGGTTCAGGTTCAACTGCGCTACCTCGAACATGCCTGAGCATTGCTCTTGGCCCTTGGGCAGCGTGAGCCACCTGCCATGTGGTTGGTAGGGGATTTCCCTTTCACCGCGCATATAGTGCACCTCGGCGACTTTTGGCAACCTTGCGCCTTATGGCCCTCCGAGCCGCACCATCTGCACAGCTTGCTGAACGGTCTACGCTATCTAGCTTGTAAACTAGCATCGGTCTGGTACAAATGCCAGTTATTTTGTCAGGTAACAAATACTGGGATATTTCTGGCCGAAGCCAGAAATAATAAGCGCCTGAACTTTCACGTTTTTTTGCACTAATCCATGCTCTCCGGTCCCACTTCTGTCATCATCATGGAACAGCGTTCAGGCTCCGACTACATTATTCGGAATTCGTACGGCTCTACATCGGATTCATGCTCTCTGGCTCCAAAACAAACTACAAGGTCTCGTAGAAATACCAGTTATTTTGGCAGATAACGAATATTGGTATATGTCTGGCCGAAGCCAGAGATAATACGCCCCTCATGAACTTTTCTGTTTTTCGAGTACTGGTTACATTTGCACCACTCCACATGGTTTTTGATCCATGTTCTACGGCTCCAGTTGCATTCGTATCATCCGATTCGAAAGCAAATTACAAGGTTTGGTCGAAATGCCGATTATTCTTTCAGGTAACGAATACTGGTATATGTCTACTAGAGATACTACGCTCCTAATGAACTTCCACGGTTTTCGAGTACTGGTAAGATTTGCACCACTCCACATTGTTATGGATCTATGTTCTACGGCTCCAGCTCCACTCTTCAGCATTCACACGGCTCTGCATTGTTCTGAGTCCATGTGCCATTCCTCCCGGCTCCAAAGATAACAATAAGGTCTGGTAGAAATACCAGTTATTCTCTCAGGTAACGAATACTGGTATATGTCTGACCGATGCCAGAGATACTACGATCCTAATGAACTTCTACGTTTTTCGAGTTTCCATCTGCACTGTTCAACAAAGCAACTGTTTTGATCTTTTGTCATCACCTTTGCATGGGTCCCATCTCATTGCTAAGGTGGGCGCTATGCAAGGCGATATTTACGATCGACAAATCGCCTTCAATGAATTTTTCTTCATTTATCGTCAACAGTCGCTCGCCAACTGGCAGAATAAATGGAGTGATGGGAGTTTGGGACGATGGCTATATTCGATCATCCCTAAGGTGTCGAAGAGTCCTTGGTTCAAAGGATTTGATGTGGGTCGAGACTTCATTCGTGTGATGTTTCGCCTCATGTCCAATCACTACTCGTTAAACGCTCACTTGTTCCGTGTTGGGCTGGGGGACAGCAATCTCTGTGAATGTGGACAAGGTTACCAGGACGCAGATCACATCATTTGGTCTTGTGCTGAGCATCGTGGAGTCAGATCTGAGCTGTAGGATTCCCTTCGGGCTCGAGGTAGATAACCTAATGTTCCAGTTCGGGATGTTTTGACTAGACGCGATCTGGAGTTTATGAAACTCATATATGTTTTTCTGGAGAATATTAACCTTAGATTGTAAGTTTGATTAACTTTGTGTCTAGTTTGTATTTTGTGTGTTTGGGTTTTTTAAATTTTTGTTTTTGTAATAATTGTACAATTATACAGCTGATAACAAGTTGAATAGAAATAAGTTCATGTTTTAGTAATAGTGAAATCTCCTTCTCTCTCTCCCCATCCATAAAATTGTAAACCTCCACTAACCTCGAGACGACCGCGAGTATTCGGTTCAATCCCTGTAACTCTAGATTTACGATTAGGATTAAGTATGTATAACGAAAATGATAACTTGGCTCTGTAAAGTTTATTCGATTGAGCCTGTACAAATAAATCAATAAGGTATTAATATAGGTAATTAATCCATCCATAAGGTATTTTCTCCTGCTCGGGGTCCTGCTCCCGAGCAGGAACCAATAGCTAATCGATAACAAATGAATATCTTAATGTGGTATGATACCAGATTTCGGTATGCTTGTGGTATAAAACCTTGTTTTGATATTATTCAGTTATCGAAATATTTTGTAAAATATCAAATGAATACCAAAGTAACAAAATGTGATCTTTCAGTTTTTAGACAATAACACCTAAAAGAATTATTGAATTGGTATTAGAAGACCTTCAAAATAACAAATTATGGTATTCTGGCATCTGTAAAAGCGCCTGTTATCCGTTTGTTATTGTAATAACTAAATTATTTATTAGTTCGTTATTCGAAGAACATGTTTGAGGTATTATTTCTGGTATTTTACCTCTTATGTCAGCCTCACTAATACCATATTTAGGTTGCCAGTATATTTCATACCTGAATTTGGTATTAATAAGCTATTTTTTCCTGCTCGGGCTCGAGTTTCCGGGCTCGGGCTAGAAATGGCTCTAATGTTGGCCCATGGATCTAAGATTGGGCCCATCTAATGGATCATTGGGGTACTAATGGATTTTTTTGGTCGCTATTGAAAATTCAGTCGATTGCTGAATTTATTTATGGGCCCAAGTTAGGGGCATAATAGCTGTGTGGTATTGTTTTGGTATTGCATTTGCATAATTAGTTATTGGAATGGTATTGTGGGATCATAACACCAACAAGTATGGTATTAATTGTTGGTAATTTACCTCTTGTGTCAGGCTCATCCATACCAGTTTAAGGTTTCGAGATTTTCGTTTCTGCTCGGAAACGCATTGAAACACCACTGAATTTACTTTGGTCTACACTGAAAATAGTTTTCACTTAGTTCCTATTAGGAACACACAAATTATGTTAGCAATATCAAAAATAATGATTTTTATCTGAATATCACATAGCATAAGAAATTCTATAAGAGAAATCATATAGATTTCATTGGACACATAACGTTCATGTGATTTAGTGGTGCAATTTCCAATTATGGGATCACATAAAATGTATGTGAAATTCACATGAATATTTTCCACTGGTTATGTGATTTAGTTTTTTGAGTGTACGGATGAAGAAAAAAAAAGATGTAAACTTTCAAACTTCGCGCTCTTGAAGACTTTGTGTTGTAGCTCGTGAACTGAAGCATCATACCAAAGATACACTTAACTCATTAATGCCGAAATCATAGATTTTTTTCTCCGTCGATCTTGTTTTCCGTGCTGAGCACCAATGCTACCGACGTGCCAGGAAGGCAGCTCCCACACCTGGACCCTACCTATCGACCCATCAACTCATGAACCGGGGACCAACGGCTTTACTTCCCATCCGAAGGAAGGCGTGATCAGAGATGTTATGCCTCAGAACATCCCTGCGGCGCCGACTGGTATTGAACCCAGGCCCTGCTGGGGTGAGAGGTAATCACGCTTACCACTACACCACCGGCGCCGTTATAAATCATAGATATATGTGATGTTTTCTGCTCGATAGGCCCAAAATGGGCGATTAGGCGGAAGTAGCTCTCTACGCTATGCCTTGAACATAAGAACGAGAAAAATGCTATTCTAATGTTTTAGTCGGTACCTTAATCACAACTATTAAGATGTTCATAATACTTTGGTGTATGCCGAAATCATGCCGTAGAATAGGAACGTTGGAATCAAATAAAAAAAAAACCTATGGGCATAGTTTTAAACGCAGTAGAGAAGCAATTTACCATCAACCCTTTGGGGGAGAGGGGAGGGGCGTTCTAGAATTTGTGACAGTAAGTGTAATACACGGTTAGAAAAAAGTACCCAAAATTAAATTCTTTTCACTCATCAAGGCTCTACAGTGCAGGAACCCAAAAGTAGGTAAAGCGGGTCAAAGTAATTTTCATTTACTTGTGTGCAGTTCGTATGGAATTTTCCACTTGCTTTTTAACCAAAAGTAAGTTAGTTGTACCCAACAGTAGGTAAATATGATTTACCCAACGTTGGGTTCCCACACTTTACTAGCCCTGTTGGGTGGTCTTGCTCCTTCTTTTTTGACAACATTAGAAGGAGAAAATGAGACAAACTAGTCAAAAGTAGGTAAAAGTGAACTGGCCCGTTGGGTACTTTTTTCTTACCGTGTAAGTATGAGAAAAAGCGTGAGGATAGGGGAGGGGGTTTAACAATCTAAAAACTAGTGGTTATTATTTGAGTTGCCCCTTAAGCAGAATGTGGTAGTAGTAGAAAGAAAGACATTTTAATAATTTAACAACAAAGTTGAATTAATTATAGAAGAATGAATTTCACATATTATTCAAATATTAAATACAGTTCTACATTCTAGCTGTTTAATCTAAAAACATCCCAACAAATATTGAAAGTTGAATAAGAGTTCATTCAGGCAAAAATTTGCTTCTTCAGCAAAAAAAACAATGCTTATCCAGCTTTCAATCAGTTCAAATTGTTTGTTGGGATTATATTCCTAACGAATCAGATCTTCACAGCCTCCATTGCCAGAACGAGTTCCTTCACCTTATCTCGTAGAACTTTTCCAGTACTGCCGAGGGGTAGTTCATCGCGAAAAATCACTCCACCTCTCAAATGTTTATAATCTGGAACCTGTCCGTTGACAAAAGCCAAAATTGCATCCTCCGTCAGTTTACAATCCTTTTCTTTCACGACTACCGCCGTCAATAGGTCCGACGCTTCCCATCCGTCCTCCGGTACTCCAACGACGCAGGTGTGCTTCACCCCTTCAATTCTCTCGATCACCCACTCCAAGGAAGACGGAATCACTAGCATATTCCGGTAGCTCAGTAGATCCTTCTTCCGTTCACTCATGTAGAAATAATGCTCCTCATCAAAGTAGCCACAGTCTTGCGTTCGCAACCAACCATCCTCAGTGATCAAACTACTCATTGCCTCCGGTTCATCAAAGTAACCAAGGAACGGATCACTTTTCTTCAACTGTAACTCACCTAATTGCCCGACGCCTACTGTTAGACCAGCTGCATTGATGATCCTCGCCTGAATCTGCGGAGCCAATTGCCCACTCGCTCCAGCCTTCCGTCCCATTGGATCGTGTATCACCAAGCCACATTCTGATAAACCGTAGTCATTTGTCGTTCTACCGTTCGGCAGTAGAGCCTCGATTTTGTCCCTGAGCAAATCGGATGCCAAACTTCCGAGGACTACCCACGTTTTAATGCTAGAAAAATCCGCCTCCGCACAACGTGGATGACAGACAACCGATTTACTATAGCTTGGTTGCAAGTTGACCGTTTCTATGGGATACTTTGCGAGCATCTCGAAGAACTTGTTTTCACTGAACATATATCGCGTGTACAGACGTGGAGTGCTGGTAGCGATGGACTGATAGATGCTAAAGAATCCCGTTCCCCATGACAATGGACAAAAGTTGAAAGTGATACCCCGGTTGACCTGAAAATATGAGCAACTCCAATTGATGACCTGAGCATGTGAAAGGCGCACTCCTTTCGGCTTGTTAGTTGTACCGGATGAGCTCAAAATAACCGCAACTGTTGACCTGGCATCACCTAGATACGACGCTTGGAATTTAAACTCCTCTCCAGTTTCCTGAAGCAACGCCTCCATCTTGTGCACATCGGTTCGTTCACATTCTGTCACGAAAAATACTGGCTCCCGCTCGACCTCATTCCGGCAAGCTATTTTAAAATTTTCGCAATTTTCCTCGTCACAGAATACGACCTTCGGCTGATACTTCTTCAATAAATGATTCAACTCGGGCAGCCTGAAATACATTGGCATCAGCACGAACTGCGCTCCGATCGTCAACAGAGCCACCACCAATGGTGCTACGTTCTCACTATTGCGACAAGCCACGATCACCATTTCACCTTTGGTCATTCCCCTCCCATTCAGGTTCTGCGCGATACGGATCGTTCTGGTGCGAAATTCTCCACAAGTCATTCTCCGACCGGTATCGCCATCGATTTGTGTCACCTTATCGGGGGTACGCTCCAACATGTTCAGCAGCATTTGGCCAACACTGACCTGCGGGTTGAACAGCGGTGGCTGAGCTGGTCCGGACCACACTTTTTCAATCGGGTCGTAGCGAGACATCTTGTGGCACTGAATTCGGTTGGGTCGATGCATGTGGATTTTATATGGCGTTTATCTCGCCCTTGTATGCTTCTGCCCTAGTCGTTTGAGATATTTACCATTTGTAAATCATATCTCCATTCTTATCTTAGCGCCATTATGTCGGTGAGAGATAATGTTTTGTGGCGATGTTAGGTGATTATGTAGTTGTGTGCCGATTTTGAAACAAACTAACCTCGGTAAATGTACACGGTCCATACAATTAAAACATATATATGGGTCATTCCAAGCAGCGCCGGTGGTGTAGTGGTAAGCGTGATTACCTCTGAGCCCAGCAGGCCTGGGTTCAATCGCAGGCGGCGCCGCCGGGATGTTATGAGGCATAACATCTCTGATCACGTCTTCCTACGGAAAGGAAGTAAAACCGTTGGTCCCCGGTCCATGAGTTGATGGGTCGACAGTTAGGGTCAAGGGGTGGGAGCTGCCTCCCTGGCGTCGGTAGCATTGGTGCTCAGCACGGAAAACAAGATCGACGGAAAACAAATCAAGGAAAAAAATATCTGTAGTAGTTATCTACACAAACTTCAGTAAATTGCATGGCCGCTACTGCTCTACGCAGGGAATGTCATCCAAATTTGAAAAAATTCTTCATAATTGATTGAAGTTAGAACAGATTCTATAACCAATCACAAATAAATTCATGTCTGCATCCAAATCTTCAATACAGTTATGTATTCTAAATGTTCTATCTAAAAACATAATAAACCTAACGAATCAGATCCTCACAGCCTCCATTTCCAAAACGAGTTCCTGCACCTTATCTCGCAAAACTTTTCCGGTCCTACCGAGGGGTAGTTCATCGCGAAAAATCACTCCACCTCTCAAATGTTTATAATCTGGAACCTGTCCGTTGACCACAGCCAAAATCTCATCCTTCGTCAGTTCAGAATCATTTTCTTTCACGACTACCGCCGTCAATAGGTCCGACGCTTCCCATCCGTCCTCCGGTACTCCAACGACGCAGGCGTGCTTCACCCCTTCAATTCTCTCGATTACCCACTCCACGCTAGACGGAATCACTAACTGGTTCCGGTAGCTCAGTAGATCCTTCTTCCGTTCACTCATGTAGAAATAATGCTCCTCATCAAAGTAGCCACAGTCTTGCGTTCGCAACCAACCATCCTCAGTGATCAAACTACTCATTGCTTCCGGTTCATCAAAGTAACCAAGGAAAGGATCACTTTTCTTCAACTGTAACTCACCTAATTGCCCGACGCCTACTGTTTGACCAGCTGCATTGATGATCCTGGCCTGAATTTGCGGTGCCAATTGTCCACTCGCACCAGCCTTCCGTCCCATTAAATCGTGTACCACCAGGCCACATTCGGACAAACCGTAGACATTTATCGTTCTGCCGTTCGGCAGCAGAGCCTCAATTTTGTCCCGAAGTAAATCGGATGGCATACTTCCGAGGACTACCCATGTTTGAATGTTGGAAAAATCCGCCTCCGTACAACGTGGATGACAAAGAACTGATTGACTGTAGCTTGGTTGCAGGTAAACCGTTTCCAAGGGATACTTTGCGAGCAGATCGAAAAATTTGTCTTCACTGAACGCGCACCGCGAAAACAAACGTGGAGAGCTGATAGCGATACAATGAAAAACGGTAAAGAATCCCGTTCCCCAGGACAATGGAGAAAAGTTAAATGTGATGCCCCGGTTTACGTGAAAATACGAAATGTTCCAATTGATGACCTGTGCATGCGAAAGGCATACCCCTTTCGGCATGCTGGTTGTACCGGATGTGCTCAGAATGACCGCAACTGTTGACCTGGAATCACCTAGATACGGTGCATGGAATCTACGCTCATTTCCAGTTTTCTCAAGCAACGCCTCTACCCTGCGCACATCAATTCGTTCGCTTTCTGCCACGAAAAAGGTTGGCTCCCGCTCGACTTCATCCTGGCAAGCTCTTTTCAAATCTTCGTAATTTTCATCGCCGCAGAATACGACCTTCGGCTGATACTTCTTCACTGAATGCTTCAACTCGCCCAGCACTAGATGTATTGGAATCAGGACAAACTGCGCTCCAATCGTCAACAGAGCCACCACCAACGGTGCTACGTTCTCACTATTGCGACAAGCCACGATCACCATATCACCTTTGGCCATTCCCCACGCTTCCAAATTCTGCGCGATACGAATCGTTCTAAGGCGAAATTCTCCACACGTCATTATCTGGCCGGTATCGCCATCGATTTGTGTCACCTTATCGGGAGTACGTTCCAACATGTTGAGCAGCATTTGGCCAACACTGACCTGCGGGTTGAACAGCGATGGCTGAGCTGGTCCGGACCATACTTTTCCAACCGGGTCGTAACGAGACATCTTGTGACACTGAACTCGGTTGGGTCGATGCGTATGGAGTTTATATCGTCTTTATCTCGTACTTGTATGCCTTTACCTTAGTAGGATGAGATATAACTTGTAAATCACATTTTAGCAGCACAGGCGGGAGATAAGAATTTTTGCATATAATTACGGAGAACCTGTTGAATATTTAATGGGATCAACATGCAGTACCACGCAAACGTATTTTGGTGAATAATGTTTTGAATGCTTTTCTTTTTCTTAAATAATACACATGCATGCTTAAGGATTGATTGAATTTGATTCAACTCACCTGGCGTGGCATTTTATAATTGGAAATTATTTTCGTATCAGTCCTCCCCACCGAACACGACCTACCACTCGGGCTCCTATCCATTATAGGTGAGGTAACTGCACCCTGTTAAGGCTAAGATAACCCACCACAGACGTCCATTATCAGTCGCCCCTATTCCCACTGCAGCCACTATCAACTGCAGTGGACCACATCAACTGCATGCAATTTGTTTATTAATATTTAGTCCGATATCGTTAGGAGCTGTCGGGCCCTGCTGCACGGCTTCATGCTATGTGTTATTAAAAATAATTATTGTCTATCGGTCCAGTCCGACCGACCGACGACGCTGTCCGGCATGGTCCATTTCATAATTTCTGCTGCAACAGCGAACTGCATTCAATCAATGAATGGCGTGAACCCTCGTGTTCTGTTGTTGCTGCTGCCATGCTTATCTTAAGAGGGCGCCCCGACGCAACGGTCAGTCGGAAGAAATCATGCCAAGTACACGCGCTTCGATCGCGGAATATGCCACACCTCGAAAAATACACAATGTATTTCAGTTCAATTTAAAATCAATATGACTATCGACCGCCGTGAGTTTTGCTGTTTAACTTCACTAATATGTTGCATTCCATTCATTCCTTGTTTCAGAACTGTGCGAGGAGCTGGCCCTCGCCAACAACATCCGGGACTTTTCGGATAACCACGAAGAGCTGGAAGATGGCTTTGGCGAGGCAATCGCCTACAGTGTCAAGTATCTGGGCAATACGGCGATTCCGACGCCACGCGCGGAGAACTCCACCGCCGATGCCGTGAAGAAGATCATCACAGCTGCCAAAGGTATGTATATGCGAGAAAAAATCGTTCCTATTGAAGATTTGTTCGTTCAGTTTTCTCTATTAGGAGAGATTTTCAGCCGTTCATCACTTATAGCGAATTCGTTTATTATTCAGTTCCAACCTGGATCGGGTATCAAGATTGGGTCTGCTTGTTTTCTGACAAACGTCAGTTTGCTTGTTTGTTTTTAAAACCTAGCTCAGGTTGAGGTTAACACTGACAAAAAGTTCGGTTTCGCACTGGGTTGGAACTGGTGTTAACCCCGATAATTCGCTATTAGTTAACTGACAAAACCCCAAGGCTGCAAACAGCGTGTCTATACATGTTCGCATGGCTTGTACTCGACAATGCGATGATCAATCGTTATGGCTATCTACTTTTATTTGAAACAGCTAGAAACTCGATTGACCTGAGGTTGGTCAACCGGAACGGGAAAAACCTGGAAAAGTCCAGACCAAAATGCGTGTTGGTTCATGTTGACATGGCTAATTCTCAGCAATTTGGATGCCAAATTTTAAGATTGAAGCACTATTTGAAAGGTATGACTATCTACTTTCGAACGGAACTGACAGCGAACCGATTGGACTTGTGGTTGGTCAGTCGCAACAGGCATACCCGTTATAGGTGGCGTTGGGGAAATTCAGATTTATCGGGAAAATGGTCAATTCCTTAAAGTAGATCTAGAGATCCGCAATTTTTTCTAAATCGCAAATCATGAGCATAGAGGCATATGCCATCACCATATCGATTCTGCTACCGGGTGGCGATAAAGCGGTCCTCTAAATGTCCGGAATCACCGAGAAACTGGTCATTTCCTGAAAGTAGACCTAGAGATCCACGATTTTTTTTCTAAATCGCATACGTAGTTCCAAAAGGATGTCGAGTGTAGCTTAAGTTTGCGTTGGATGCCTCGTTGGAAACTTGAAAAGCATTCACGACTGACTCGTTGGTACATGTGATTCAGCCTCACATAATTAAGTTTCAGAGGAAGCGTGCTATACTTTGTAAATCTTCTCAATGCTGCTTTCTTGATTGTCTACCAGAGAGAGTATCTGTCAATGACATATGTCAAGACTTGTGAAAAGGTTTGCGCTGCAGCCTCAACGTCATCAGGATCAAGAATGTTCTCCCATTCCATGCTAGACAATACATCTATGTCCTTAACAGTGACAATTAGAGGAGGGTGATGCGGTACCGAGATGTTTTGAAGACAGGTGGGCAGGAACTCACGGTCTCCCAGTGTTGGTGAGTTCTTTGCCGTTAATGTTCACGAAAAGTTCACTATTTTGCCATACAGAAATACAAAACAAAATTTTGTATCTGCGGATATGTACAGTTTTTGACCTGTTTCATACGACCGGAAGGTGTATGCTGGTTACAAATGCCGTGCCAAACTGATTTCCTACGCAATTAATCAATCTTTGATGTGAATTTCGCTAATAAACACGAGGAGCATTTCTTATAGCAAAACTTCCCTAATAAAAATTGTATGGTTAATTTGCTTAACGACGTGTTCTGGGTATCATCCAAACCATTTGTGGAATAGTTCAATGATTTGGGTTATCGTTCGTTTATGGTGGGCGGTTCATTTTAGTAAACTAAACTAACACTTCTTTCGACTGTGGCACCTCTCTTACTCGCCTAGATGCGGTACTGCCTTAGTTAGTGCACAAGGAGCCGAGAAAATGAATGGAGCCTTGTCCTGAGTGGTCATGAAGCAGAGGTCCAAACTACGATTATTTTCGTTAACTACCTACATGGTTAATTTAAGAAAGCGTTGCTGCGCTGTAGTTGTCAAGAAGACTAATAGCTCCTTGTTAGGATTCCGATCGCAACGAAAGACCTCGTAGTCAGGTCCGAAGACTTGACTGGAAAGCGAGAATCGAGCCACGATCCGATACAGCTAGTCGGTACTCATCAACATCAGAATTCATTTCACTGGCGTATTGGTAGCAGATCACGACGTCCTGCTTACGGCAGGGAGCGAACGACTGTTCTCGCTGGAAATCACAGATACATCAGGCTACACCATCAACTGACCATCATCGAGTTCGCCCGAGCAAAGTCGGTTAGCAAAATGAAAGCAAATTGATATTAAAGTTTGCAGTTCCTATCATAATGAAAACTGATTTTGATTTCAATTGTCACGACATTAGTCTGATATCATTATGCAATCAAGACTTTTTAAATGAAAGTAACTAAACTAAATTCAGCTGTTAACGTCTTGTTTAAAATTTAATTTAAGCTCATTTGTCGTTGAACTAACGATTATTGTTTATTTGTTTTGTTTAACACATTTTAGATCATTCGTTACTTGCCCGGAGTGAAATATTTGCTCAAGTCTTTCAGCGTGTTAAGCATGGATGCTAACGATTTATGCCAGGCCCGTATTCAGTTGAACATTATGAATGCAAAATTATAAATCAAATTGATTTCTTTGAAAGCAAGATTAGTTTTCCGTTTGATTCAACAGTGTAAAAGTTTGCACTCATTTTACTGTGTTAACCGTTAAGTCAACCAAAATGAGATCAACTGCAGTATTCAAAATAAGTTACATCATAACAGCAAATTTTGATTTCAATTTGACCTCCTCCTTTGCTCGGGCTCCTCTCCATATCTCATAGCAGGTCCGGAACGACTATGACGAACGAAGGTTGCTGGTAACAAGACTGCGACGGACGGATTGGGGGCTTTCATGAGGCTTTCTACGGCGCTTTCCAGGTCCCCAGGATTAGGAGTTACTGAGCTAACATATGTAGTCCAAATTTCTGAAAATTTAATCGGTATCAGGCAGTGAATGGTCAATATATTGATTGTACTTTCCTGTAGAAGCGATCTGGAAGACTCTTAATCCATATCCAGTCACATGTCCAGGACGACTATGCTGAAAATCCAGGAACTTTCAAAAAGCGGTCTACTGTTCGTCCCGGAGATGAATTAAGATGGTTCGAAGAGTAAAGCGGATGTTGAACATTAGCAGTATCAGAAGTGCTTATCAACTGGAACTGGTTCAGTCCGAAGATGGGAGTTGAGAACTCGAAAGGTCCCAGAACAGGAGAGATCGTGATAGTAGGCGTGTTCAAACGAGGCATCAACATGTTTTTTTAACCGTCTTCTAATTCATGGAACAAAATTCCTTTCGGCCATGTATCAAATCTAAGAGCAACTTCGCGTAGTTTGGAAGCTATGCCAACTCATACGGCTGATGTTGGATCCTTTTTTGACTAGCGACACAATCTTAGTCGGATTCTCGCACTGTACACAGCCTTTGGCCAGCTTCGCGATTGATTCCGATCTCACGCCAGGATGTATACGAGAAAGGTACAGCCAAAACAGCTCGGTGAGCTCAGGGATCGTTAGGAACTCGGTAAAGCCATTGTCATCCGGTACTGCTTTAGTACCACCAACAAGTGGTTTCCAGGTAAGCGAGCCTTCATCGCGGCGGCGTTTTGATGGCGGTGGCAATTCGTTTCGATAGCTGAGCGATCTGCTGTCCTTGCTTAGCTATTTTCTTCATATAAATACTCAGCGTGTGCGGTTTCTTGTCTCTCGGTGATACAATTAATCACAGTACCAAACGACGAGAGGGCAGTTATTTTTTTTTGTTTATTAATTTATTTGATAAGGCTCAACCGAATTAACTTTACAGAGCCGAGGATTCTTGGTCACTATACAATACATCTTAAAACTATAGTCAAAAGGTACAACACAATAAATACTTTATCTTCCGCTATCCAAAAAGCCTCCTCCATCAGAACTGGAGCCGCTTCCAGTGGTTTCATTGTATGGCAAATTGTTGTACGCCAACGAGGGTCAGAGCGCGTCCATTGCAGCAATGGACGCAAAACGTGGTCAGCACTCACACACTCATCACGAAACGGTTGCTTTCCAAAGTCGACGACGCATCGACCGAAAGAACTGCTGATGAAGAACAATGAGGAGGACCACACAATGGTTGCTGCCGAGAAAACAGACGATCGCGTAGCACACATCGAGAGTGGCCTGCTTTTGTCGACAGCCGAGTGAACACTGTGAGAGGGCAGTTATGAACCGAGTACATTTCTTCTGCTTGGCGGAAGTTCGGATTAGTGTGGACGGACAATATTCAGAAAAACCTTACCACCGCACATCAGATAAATCATCCTGTCGCAAAAAAGCCATGCAGGAGACGGAGTTGTTGCTTTTCAGTTGAGTTTTTTTTTCTTTTGATAAATAAACAAAACCTAACGTGGAGTTGATACGCAGATATACTGCTCCAGATTCGTAGATTAGATTTCAATAATTATTTATTCAAACTCAAGGCTATGGCCGATATTCAGGAGAGAGTTTCACATCAACATACATCCTCCAACACCGTATATCATTGTTTATACGGGTTCTACTTTTTGGGCCTTAAAAAAAGTCAGCTGGAAAAAATATATGCGAAACATCCGTCGACAATCTCAAACTGGATTACATTGTACGAGCAGAACAAGGTTTTTTCCGTAAGGAAAAAGCTAAGGTTTTCCTTCGTTTTGGAGCCGAGGAAAGAACGTGGCTAATTAATCTGTACAAAATGAATCCGGTTATGTTTCTCGATGAAGCGAAACACAAATTCATGCAATATTTTCATAAATCTATCAGAAGAATTCTTCTATCAGAAGGTTATACCTGGAAGGTCCCAGAACGACGTGCAATCCAACTACGGCAGGAGGAGATCTATCGCTTTTTTACTGAATTGAATGAGACCAGCTGGGATATTCACAATTTACTATTCTTGGATGAGGTCTCATGCGACAATAGGACATGCTTCGCACTAAAGGTTATGCTAAGGTTGGTGAAAAGCTAGTGTACAGAGGAGAATTTGTGAGACGTCCACGTTGTTCCCTTCTAAGCTTCCTCGGTGTCAATGGAATACTGGAAACTTTTTCAACGGAAGGTACATTCACACGAGCTATATTTTTCAATTGTGTTCGACAGCTAATAGGATCTGGAAAAGTGAAAAGACATCCCGGAGAATATTCCGTATGGATACTCGACGGGGCCAGAATCCTTTGCCACCGATCCATAACGGAATACCTTCGTTCATTGGGAATCGTAGTCATCTTTCTGCCGGCGTACGCGCCCTTTTTTAACCCTATTGAATTGGTCTTCGGCTATTTGAAGGCATATCTGAGACGGACATACGTGGAAAATAGTTCCAAGGATATTGCAATAACGATAGCAAAAGCTTTGAATGATTTCAAAGACAGAAGCTGTGTGAATATTTTCCGAAAGTGCGGGTATCTACAAGGGGGAACTTTTGATCCTAGTGTTGGATTGGGCCAAAACATGAGAGACATTGGATTTTCGAGGTGAATTTGACTAGTGCTGGTGAACTGATTAAGTAATTTCTGATATGTGATTTTGTGTAATAAAATACTCATTACGAAAATGTTTTTATTGATAATTTTATTCGAGCATTTGGAAACATAAAAAATTCGGAGTCAATCGCAGTCTATGCATGGTCAACATCGATGCAATCACTCAAAGTTTTGGCTAACTCCATGGAAAAGCGATTCTCCTTCGCTGCGACGGAGTTATTCATGGCCTGTAGCATCTCTGCATATTCTCTTTGCTTATCCTCCATTAATCCAATCCTTTTTCCCATGACAGCATGGTCATTGTTCAGGTCTCTCAAGATCCTGCTGTAGGCTTTGTTGATATTGTTTACGATCTGTAGATCAAGGCGAGCTTTTTCCAATAGAGTGTCACTGTGGACTGGTACAGAGCTAAACAGGCTGATCAGATGTTCAGGGGGTGTCTCGTGCATCAGTTTGTCTCTGACGCCAACTGGCTTAGTAGCAATCCAGCTAGCCCAGCAACCCCAGTTTACATCGTCGCCGCTCAAGTGCCGTCCATGATTTACTTTAAGCTCAGCCTTGATCTTATTCACGGAAACCAAAGACTCTGCTCCAGCGCGGTCTTTTTCCAAAGGCCGTTTCAAGCTCTGTTCCAATAAGTTCCATCTGTGAAGACTTGTTACAGAGTCTGAATACCTGTACACTACAACAGTGATTTCCTTTGACATCCAACTTTGCAGCATTGCTTTATCGACCTTCGCTGGACCAAAACTACGTTTGCTAGTTTTGTCTTGAAAAATCAGAAAGTTGTCGCAATTCTCATAGGATGGAGCTTCTTCGTCCCACGACACTTTTGCAAAAGAGACACTAGTCTCTGCATCCATACTCTCATGAATGGTGTCTTGGAAAACAGCCGCCCGGTACACAAACTTCGAACAGTAGATCCATATTTGTCTGACAACATCATCGGCACTATCGCCTCCCACAGCAAGAGATCCACAACGATCTTGATTTTTCAGGTTCTTGAAGCGTTTCTCGTAAACTGACCCCTTAAATGTCAGTTTGTGTTTTCTTGATGCAGGACGCTCAGTATCCGGGTACTTTCTCTGAATCAAAAACAAAACACACGCTATAATTCAAGTTACAGATAAAATCATTCAATGCGAAATACCTTTGTTGATGATGTTGAAGCTACGGGTTTCAATTCAACCATCAATGAGACCACTGGTTCTGGTTCTGGTTCCACATCCAGAAGGTATTCTTCATTGTACAACTCCTGGAAAAAATCGGATGCTTTTCCAGCCGAATCTAGGCTTATATCGTAATCGATTTTGAGTGGATCACTTTCTTTTGCATCGTTCTCGAATTTTAATGAGGATACACTTTCAGAATCACTAATCTTTCGTGTTGATACTCGCACAATATTCTTAAACTACGGGCAAACCCGGGCAAACGAATGATTATTCTGGGAAAGTTCAAGATGTTTATGAGATGAAAGGTGTTCCCGATAACACTAGTTTACAGCATTTTTGAACTCGGTAAGATGATGATCATTTCCAATGCAAAATCCTACGCTGAATTCAATGCCGGGGTTAGAAAAAAATTAAAGTAGAGCCATTTTTGAGATATACAAAAATTTTGATTTTTTGAATTTTGGACAAAAGTACGATTACTAAAATGTCAATATCTTTGGAACTAGTGCACCAATTTTAAATATTTTTTTATGGAGATGAAGCTAAATAAATTTGCTATCGTTCAAAAGAATATTATGTCTTAATTAAAAATTTAATTTTGAAGTCATTTAAAAATTTACAGCATTTTTTTTTATTTTTCCTGCGACTTTTCCATAAAAATTTTGTTTTAATCAACATTTTTAATGGGATAAAAAGATTCAAAAAATCATTCCATAATTTATTCTTAAAGTCCATTCAAAATCGGAGAAAATGAGCCTTTAATGGATGAAATCGGTTGGAAATTGTCGAAGTTATGAGCATTTTTGTAAAACACTTAAAAATGTTGCTGAAATACAACAGCTTTAGAGTTCCTTTTCTAGGCGTCGTTGTAAGCATCCAAATCGCATGTAAAGTTTTCATGGGAGATTCTTTTCTCTACATATCAATTTGATTAAGGCATATCAGGATTTAAAACCGAGTTGATATAAAAGAAATTTATTTAGGTTTTATTAAAAATGATTGAGAATCGAATGACTTTGTCTTCAATGTTTTGAACTTGTTTCTCGAATCAGAAACCAACAATAGTCACCCATCATTGCTTCATTCCAAAACCCTTGGTAACGACGTTCCATCATCTTCATTTGTTGGTGAAAACGTTCGCCGTGCTCATCACTCTCGTCACCAAGATTTTCCGGGAAAAAATCCATGTGAGAATGTAGGAAATGTATCTTCATAGACATATTCACACCTGTGTTCAGTGAAATAAAAGGATTTGAAATTAATTATATGTAACAAACACAATATTTTTGATTTATACCTATTTTCTCATAATTTTTGAGCAATTCATCGACGGCTTCCTTATAATCTGGGCTTCTGAAATTTCCTAAAAAGGTTGTGACAACACGCTGGAACGATTTCCACGCTTCTTCCTCATCTGGTGTCAAAACTGTATTGAATGCGGAATCATTGAGCAGTTTTTTGATCTGTGGGCCAACAAATACACCTTCCTTTATCTTTGCGTCAGATTAATTTGGAAATACTGATTTCAAGTACTGGAATGCCGGCCCTTCTTTTTGCAACGCTTTGACGAAATTTTTGAATAGCCCAAGTTTTATATGTAGTGGTGGAAGTATTATGCGTTCTTTTACCACAAGAGGGTCATTTTTAACGTTGTCTTTACAAATTGTGAAATTATCCGATTTTGGTCAATCTTTTCGGACGTAGTGTTCCTTACGAGCTCGACTGTCCCATTTACACAAAAAAACACATATATTTTGTGTATCCCTGTTGCAATCCAGGTAACATGGCAACCACTTTAAGATCGGAATAAATTTTCCAATTGTGTTGATTGTAATTTATCAAATTGAGCAATAGAGCCATTGATTCATACGTTTCCTTCATATTAACGGCATGAGCTAATGGAATAGAAGGTTTCTCATTCCCTTGATGCAGTAAAACGGCTTTCAAGCTCAACTTGCTGCTATCGATGAATAAACGCCATTCAGCTGGATCATTTGGCTCACCAAACTCTTCAAACAAGCCGTTTACGTCATGGCAAAAACATGCCTTGTCCTTTGTAGAATAATATTTGTCAAATTTCTTGTGACGATTCTTGTGACAAGAAATTTTGACCTCCTTGCTCAGCATGTTGTGTTCTTTCAAGCGTGATGCCAGCAATTCGGATTTCTCCTTCGATAAGTCGAGATCTCGCATCCAAAAATTCGGATTGTGTAAACAGTTTTGGGTTTCTTTCCAACTCCACCTCGAAGTCTTCCTCGCATTCCTCCTTGAATTCCTCCTCACTTTTTGTAACGGTCGATTCAACAGAGGGCGCTCGTTTCCGCTTTGGATAAACAGGATACGGGACCGAACTTGAATGTGGAACAGGTTTTGTCATAGAAGCCACTTGTGGATACTCAACTGTTTTGTGACGTCCTTGTTACTTAACTTTTGTCAAGCAGAAATTACAATTCGTTGCATGACAAAACGGTCGACGCCATATGGTGGGCATGTCAAAGGACAAATAGCGACTGACAGATAACAAATAAGTGAGTTAGTAAGTAAGACATTAACACTTATCAAAAATAGATGAAGTAAGTTAATGTCGATCAGGAAAGAACAAAGCACTACCATGTTGTACTTCAATTGTTTATATGAAAGTTATTCAAAAAATCAATATACCTTGCGCCTGACATCCACCTAGCCAAGCACGTTTTGCACAAACTACATAATACTTTTGGAATCCACGGTTCGTCAAAGTCTCCAGGATCAATTTTAAAATAAAGCCTCTATGCAGTTTGCAACGAAGCAGTGAAATTGACCGATTTTGTAAATATATAGTTGCCACACGCGTAACAAAACTTTTGAGGATCATTTTTACACTTGGATTCACGTTTTGTCGTATACATCGTTAAACAATGTTAAAGAAAGAAAGCTGTCAAATTGAGTTGGTTGCGTTAGGTTCTCGACGAGCGGTCTCACAAACACTAGCGTAAATTATATTGTTGAAAATATCCCATTTAATTTTGCGTGACAGCTGGTAGTGTTAGTGAAATGCACCGTATGCGTACACGTCCGCAGAAAGGCTTACTGGAAGTGGTGCATGAACCTAGGAGCGGGACAACGGCCAATCTTGGAACATTCAATTTCCATGATTTTACAAAAAATTTCATAACTTCGACAATTTCCAACCGATTTCATCCATTAAAGGCTCATTTTCTCCAGTTTTTAATGTACTTCAAGAATAAATTATGGAATGATTTTTTGAATCTTTTTATCCCATTAAAAATGTTGATTAAAACAAGATTTTTATGGAAAATTCGCAGGAAAAATAAAAAAAAATGCTGTAAATTTTTAAATGACTTCAAAGTTAAATTTTTAATTAAGACATAATATTCCATTGAACGATAGCAAATTTATTTAGCTTCACTTTCATAAAAAAAGATTTAAAATTGGTGCACTAGTTCCAAAGATATTGACATTTTAGTAATCGTACTTTTGTCCAAAATTCAAAAAATCATTTTTTTTTTGTATATCTCAAAAATGGCTCTACTTTAATTTTTTCTGACCACGGCATTGAATTCAGCGTAGGATTTTGCATTAGAAACGTTGGTCAACTACTAAAGTTCACACTTTTTATGTTGTTTTGTAAACTAGTGATAATCAAATTGACATTGCTAGTCAAATAATAATAATGATTATTCTTGTAGTGCGTTGGTGTATATTCTGCTTACAAACATTTAACAGCTGACTCAGCACGTCACCCAATCAGTATCTTGAGTGTGTGTGAGCAAATTGTTTGTCTCTTTCACCTTTCTTATTCCGCTGTTTACCGCTCCCTACTTTTGCTTTATCTTCAAAGTGAGCATTTGGGAGCACCTTTTATATTGAGAACACCTTGGGTGATACAAGAGCATGGAGTCACTTGATTTTTAAACAGTATGTTTTTGGTGATTCCATACTAATGCTTATGTAAGGGTAAATCTCTGATGTTGAGGAACTTTGCGGGTATTATTTCGCTGTTAATCAGCTGTCATCGAAGATAGCCGCTGCTTTTGGATTAATCGTGAGATGTACAATAAAATTTAGTGCAAAAACACGACGATGCGAATAACAACAATAATCGATAGTCTTATAAAACAATATAGCGAGGAAAATGACGGCTTCGACAATACCTTTACTTATTATCATCAGACAAAGTCCAGGAGCGCTACATTTTGGCGCCAACCCTGAAACATGATGTATTCTCATGCAAAAAATAAGCACTCAATGACTTTATCACCTCCTGACGATAATAGGTAGGTAAAGGTATTAAAGGGTGTCCACAGTTAAATTGAATCACTTAGAAGTACTCGCCAAAAATAAGTCTCTCAACCGATTGTCATGAAATATTCAGGGAATGTAATATAGCTATATATAAGCTTGGTCTACGTATTTTTATTTCACTCTATTTCTTCACCAAATCCAAATGCAGGGCTGTTACAAGATTTTCTAAATTTGATCCGCGAAATCCGCGATTTCTCAAAAGAAATCCGCGACTTCAAATACTAATCCGCGACAAAAAAAAAAACGGTTTTCATAGACTAAAAATAGCATTTGCATACTACTACATGGCATTTCAAGCTTATTGCTGATAACATATTAGATTTTTGCCTGCTCTCAACTTTGAAGTACTTTCACATTTTAATTGAGAGCTTCCTATGCCTGTACCATCCTATGCCCTAGAAAGTAGAGAAATTTTCCAACTCGAAAAATTAATAGACCGGACGGGAATCAGTCGCCTCCAGCATGGACTTGCTTTGTAGCTGCGCCTTTACCGACTGAGCTAAAGGAGTATCGTTTGTAACCTTTGAAATTAAAAAAAAATAACATTGTATCATTTTCAGTTATATATGTATAGTATAAATTCTTAGTAATTAATAAACATAATAAAACACCCTTACATTATGAGATTCTATTGAATAATACCGGCCAAGATTTAAAAAATAAATAATTCATTTTCATTTGAAATGCAATTTTTTTTTGAAAATTTACCTTTGCGTCTCTGACGTATTTTTCTGTCCTAAATGTTGCAGTTAATTTGGCTCTAGTTTTCTCACTTTTAACCGATTCAAACCAAACACCCTGCACATAATCGAGAAATTACCAGAGTTTCATAAGTCACACTTGTTGGTCACGAAATTATAGGTTTTCCAAATCGTCCAGCACGGAGAACAAATTCGTTAAGTTAAGATAACAATCCTAATAGTTACCTTCACATGGAAAAATATTGTTGTTTGAAAGAAACCTATAGTTATTCCAACATTAATTTGACCGTCAGCTCAATCATATCTGCCTTATAGATTCAACTGTTCATCTTATACTCAATTCAACTATAACTTTGATCAATTATAACAACCGTCAAATGTAATTTAGTTATATAATTTGGTTTCAAGTGATTATCATAAATCCACATACTTTTAACTTGTGATGCGTAGAGCAGGCGATAAGATAGCTTGCTCTCACGCAAACACGGTTCAAATCTTAGTTGAATATTCTTGTTCACCTTTTTTTATGATTTTTCAGTTGTGTTTTTGAGATCGATAAAGAAGCAAAACAAACTTCCTTAATATGTCGATAATGAAGAGCAGTTCGTTTAATGAACATTGTAATCTAGATGTTCAAGGTTCTTCAAATCGTCCTGGAGTGCAGATAATTTGATCTACTAGGTCAACCGAGATTAGGACAATGTCTCTAGTATCGAAAGATTTCCAGACAGATGCACAGTGTCTATGTGGATCATGCATGAACTATTGTCATGTATACCAGATGTTTTAAGTCCTCCAAATTTTTCTGGAGTTCAGATGATTTATTCTACTAGATCAACCATGACTGGGATAAAGTCTGTGGTATCGAAATATGTCCAAACAGATTCATGGTGTCTATACAGATAATGTTTAATTATTTCCACGTATACCAGATGATCTAGGTTCTCCAATTCGTCCAGCAGTTCAGATGATTGGTTTTACTAGATCAACAAAGACTAGGATAATATCTGTATTATCGAAATATCGACTTGGGCATCCTAGAACATTTGGCATACAAGGAAATAGATTGGCATGATCGACATAGACACTGCAAATTTGTTTGGGCATATTTCGATACTACAGATATTGAATTAGTCTTGGGTGATCTAATAGAAAAATAATCTGATCTCCAGAATGATTTCAGATCATCTTGTATACGTAGCAATTGGTCGGGTACAATCCACATAGACACTTTGAATCTGTTTGGACATATTTCGATAGTACAGACACTATTGGAGTCTTGGTTGATATAGTAGAACAAATCACCTGACGATTTTGAGAACCTAGAATATCCGGTATACATGGAAAAATTACTCGCATATATACGATTCGTTTATGATTTGACAACGAAAAATACTATGTTCATATTGTAAAAAAAGGAAAATGTCTCACATTGGACAGACCTCAGGAAATTTCCGTGTAAATCCGGTGTGACTAATGGAATTGAGATCATTTCTCGATTATTTGCAGCGTGTTTGGTTCGAAACGGTTAAAAATTGAGAGCCAAATGAACAACAAAATTGATGACAGCAAAATAATCCGGGACGGAAAGGTTACAATGAATTCCACATTTTTTGTGACAGCACATCAGTCCCTTCGCGATTTTCGCGACATCATTTAATTTTTCCGCGATTTTCGCGACTGAAAGTTCAAATCCGCGACAAATCCGCGAAAATCGCGAAATCCGCGAAATTCGCGAAATCCGCGCCTGTTGTAACAGCCCTGCAAATGCCTGAACTTTCTTCTTAATTCCACCCATAAGGTTTTGTACAACGGTTGAACCGACTTTTTTTTTTGCTTTCAACCATGATTTCAACATTTCCTGCTCCATAGTGACAACTTTAGGATGCTTACGGAGTTCGTGTTTCATTATAGCTAAGTATCTTTCGATCGACCGCAACTCTGGTGTGTTTGAGGGATCCTTCGGCACGAAATTGACCCCATTCGTCTTGTACCACACCATAACGTCCTTGGAGTAGTGACAAGAGCCTAGATCCCGTTAAAAATTGTAGGAACGTTGTGTGATTTGAGAAACTGAAGCTGTCGTTTGGGCAGGCACTCATTCACGTAGACTTGGCCATTTACGGTTGTAGTTGCTACGAAAATTTTGTGCAGTTTTCCGCACGAACAAGCCTGCCAAATCATGAATTTATTGGGGAACTTCGACACTTGCTGTTTCCTGAGGGAACTTGTCTTTCGCAGTCACAGACTGGTTTCCCGGAATTTGTTTGAAGTCCGCTTTTACGTATGTTTCATTGTCCTTATACAGCAGCACAGAACAGAAGGTGCAAACAAATCGGTGAATAACAAAATGGTATGTTTTTCTGCTCAACAAGCGATGCGTTGTGGTAGCGTTCCACACGCACTCACACTATCATAGCTTGCTGCCTATCTTAACTGCAGACAGAAGATGCTTTCTACCGCTAGGTGGGCTAGTGTTCTCTAATGAAACGTGGAGCCACTTTCTGAACCGTAGTTCCCCTTCTGTCAACATGTGTGAGTACAGCTTATACCCGCTTTCTGGCTGTACTATTCTGTCGTTCATTGCCGTTTGGTGCTTTCTGAACCTTGAATGCACGTAGTCTTGCTCGTTTCTTGGCTTTCTGCACGAAACTTTTTGTCAGGTACAGTTTTTTTTTGCGACATCCCGAACGGAACAGTTGGGTTTGCGTTTAAATGCAGCAACCACTCGCTTGTGATCTTCAAAGCAGTATACGGTACACTTTTTTTTACTCACTTGCTTCCGATTGACAGTTAAACCAAAAAAGAATATGTACTCCGAAACGTTTTATGACCCGAGAAACAGTAGATTGTTGGATTCCCAACATCTTTCCGACGGCTCGGTGCGAAAAATGTGGGTTGTTGAGGTGAGTGTGCAAAAATCCATTTTCAAAACTACAAGAAATTTCACAATTAAACTCACGCTTTGTAAAGAATACACGCTGAGACTATTTCACCCAGAATTATAGCCATCTCCCCTAGAATATGGCATGATCAAATTTTCTATGCGCTCTACAGAAGTGTAAAAATCCTAGAAGAAGGAGAAGATTTCAGAGAACGTTTGCTGTTGATTGAGGAATGGTTGTGATTGTGGTTTGCGAAAAAAGGTTTGCAATGTTTTCAGCGCACTTCTAACGTCATTGCTTTCTTCTTGGTCTTAAAACCCATGCTTTTATATATGTAACTGGGATCTATATCATAATGACATTTTATGACGAAAACGCTAAAATATACCTCCTTTCTTTTCTTCCCCCCACAGGAAACAAAAAACTTCAACGCGTAACACTGTCGATCTCGCCGAAGGGCATCGAAATGTTGGACCTTACAACGGGTGAAACTCTGTTGCAGGTGTCGATCTACAACATTTCCTACTGCTCGGCGGACGCCGCCCACGATCACGTGTTCGCGTTCGTCGGCACTGTCACCAATCCGGAAGCGGAGGTAAAGGAAATGTGCTTCCGCAAGGACGCCGAAGAGGTCGAATTCGAAGGACCGCTGATTTGCTATGCTTTCCTATGCCAGAAGCGCAAAATGGCCCAAACCGTAACGCTGACCGTGGCACGTAGCTTCGAGAGGGCCTATCAGATTTGGCAGAGCAAGCAATTTCACGCCGAACGGAAGCGAAAGGAGCTGGCGAAGCTGAATGCAACCAATCGAGTGGAAAGTAGTAACAGCGGTAGCAGTAGCAGTAGCGGCAGCAACAGAAAAACGGGGCTGCGAGATGAAGCGGACAGTCCTAGTTTACTGATCGATTTCAACTCGGATCTGACGGCGGAGATTTGCTCCAAGGATCATCGGGAGCTATTGCAGAATACTTGGGTAATTGTGTGCATATCAAACATTGATAAGTTAACTTTGTTAAAATTTGATTCTTTCCACTTTGAAAACAGGTTTCATTTGAAGATGATCAATCGCAAGAATTCTTCGCAGTGCCAAATCTCAATACTGCCAATGGATGGAGCAGGACGGCTATTTGCTCAAACTGAGGGAATCTTCAGCTGACTATGTTTAAGATAGTTTGTAGTTGTTTTTTATGATTATATTTTACGATTTTGAATAAAACGAAAATCCAAAAAAGAAACCTTCATCGAGCACAATATGAGAATAGTCTTAAATATAATTGTGATAAATCTGGATATTTGTACTTTTTTATGTAAAGCTAAAAATGACCCAATAAATCAGAACGTTTAAGTCGAACCAAAAAGGGGTGAGCTTTTCTGTGTGACAGGGATTATCAACAATTTTTAACCATTTTTGGTAAGGTCAAGTTATGGTTCGCGTTTATGCGGGTTGATGGCTTTGGTTATCATCGTTCACAGTGATTGGCAGCTGGCAAATCGTCGAATAACCTTAAAATCCACCATAACTCCTTGCAGCTCTCCGGAATAGCGACGTACTCGGCTTCCGAACTGCTCAAAGTTACGCAATCTTGTTTCCTGGAACACCATCCGATCATACCGCTTGCGTACCGGATCAAGTAGCCGGTGGTTGACTTGCGATATCTGGTGTCGCCCGCCCAGTCGGCATCTACGAACAGCTCCAATTGCTTGGAATCGGTGTGGTCGATGGTTCCTTTCAGGTAACTCAAGTTTCAAGTAAGCTATCATTCAAGCAACACCGATGTTCCGTCTCCGCCGAAAGTCAACTGATACGAACACGACCAACAAGCAGCGAAGAACGAGACCATCAATAGGCTACAACATCCACCAATCAGCGACGACCACATCAACGCTCGCCGCTTTAAAAGAGGCATGCATCACCGTGCAAAACAAGAGCTCGGCAGGATCGGCACCAAGGTGATGCTCCGAACCAAAGCGGAGTACGAAGTTGCCGTGAAATATCTGAAGGATACCAAGGCGGAATTCTTCACGCACGACATCCCCGGTGAGAAGCCCTTCAAGGTAGTCATCAGGGGTCTACCAAACTTCGACCCCAAGATGGTCGAAGCCGAAATCAACCGGTACAAGCTAGCCCCAATCGCTGTCTTCCGAATGACAAGGAGAGATGAAAACGTGAAGACGTACCCGGATTGTCTTTTCCTGGTGCACTTCCAGAAAGGGACGGTGACGCTCAATGCGCTACAAGCCATCCGATCGATCTACTCCATCATCGTACGGTGGGAGCCGTACCGTGGCGGTCATCGTGACGTAACGCAGTGTCAGAGGTGCCTCAATTTTGGACACGGTACCCGCAACTGCAACATCAAGCCACGCTGCAGCAACTGCGCTCAAGAACACGCCACTTCCAACTGCCCTGCGGATGGAGCCGTGGCGATAAAATGCGCTAACTGTGGTGGTGCACATCAAGGCTCTGACAGACAGTGCTCCAAACGCGAGGACTTCAAACGCATCCGAAAGCTGGCGTCAAGCAACAATCAACCAGGACGCAAGAAGGACAAAACCCCATCATTCAGGACGGAGGATTTTCCGCCTCTTCGTGCTCCCCAGCAAAGGCAAGTGAATTCGCGGGTGCAACCCGCCCCTCCTCAAGAAGCTTCCGATGATTCTGCTGACCAAAGCTCTCCATCCCCCCCTGGATTCTGGAGACAACCAACAGGACAAAACAACAACCCCGATCTGTTCTCAGCGGATGAACTGATGGAAATTTTCGTCAACATGTCCGGTGCTCTTCGTAAGTGCCGCAATAAGCCCGAACAGATCCAAGTGCTCGGTAAGTTCATCATCCAGTATGGCGTCTAAACCGCTAACTATCGTCACCTGGAATGCTTGCTCTGTAAGAGCAAAAAAGATTGAGCTTGCCGACTTCCTCCGCAAGCACAGCATCGACGTGGGCCTTTTAACCGAGACCCATCTAAAGTCCGGCGACAGCTTCTGGTTGCCTGACCACAACATTATTCGGCTTGATCGCACCAGCTCCAGGGGGGGTGGTGTTGCGGTCGTCGTCAAGAAAGGAATAAAATACCACACTCTGTCCCATATCCGCACCTCTATCATCGAGGCCCTTGGTGTGGAGGTGGAGTCGTCGACTGGATACGTCCAGTTCATCGCCGTCTACTGCCCTCGACAGTGTGCCGCCAGCAGTGGACTAGCGGCTAAATTCAAGAAGGACCTGTCCACCATCACCCGTAACGGTTCCCGCTTCGTCGTTGGAGGAGATCTGAATGCTCGCCATGAGGCCTGGCGGAACTACCAGCAGAACCAGAACGGTCGTCTCCTGTTCGACCACTCACAGCATGGGCTGTATTCCGTTTGGTTTTCGGATGAACCAACATTCATCTCACCGGCGGGCAACCCATCGACGCTAGACCTGTTCATGACAAATATCGGCTTGTCCAAGCCGGTAGCCTTGAACGAACTCAGCTCCGACCATCAACCGGTGGTGGCTGAACTGGGCTGCAACGTGGCTCCTGCTTCAAGTCTGCGCAAGGACTACCATCGCGTTAACTGGGCCCAGTTTGGACGCGTGGTAGACAGGCACATCATCGACAACCCGCCGCTTGACACCGTGGAGGACATCGATCGAGCGTTGGAGGGACTCCATCAAGCCATAACCGTGGCTGACGAGGCGTGCGTCCGACGAGTTCCTGTGAGGGGTAAGTTTATTGCCATTGATTCCCACACCCAACTTTTGATTCGCCTGAGAAATGTTCGTAGACGCCAGTTTCAGAGGACTGGAGATCTGGGCAAAAAACGTGAAACGGCTGATCTGAACAGACAGATTGCTTCCAGAATGGACTCACTCCGAAATGAAAGTTTCGGGCGTGTTGTCCAGAATCTGGACGACCGCTCCAGACCATTCTGGAAGGTAGCCAAGGTCCTGAAAACTCATCCCAAACCCATTCCACCTCTCAGAGTCGAAAATGATGACGATCGGCTTTTAATCACCCCACAGGAGAAAGCAAATGCGATCGGCGAGCATGTCGCTTCATCGCATTTGCTTGGCTCGAATATCCAAAGTCCGCTCGAAGATCAGGTTGCGCAATGCGTTCAAAACCTAGATGCCTCCCTTTGTGTCGTGCCTCCGGCGGATATGATTACAGTACAACAAATTTGCTCAGCGCTGAAATGCACCAAGAACATGAAGGCTCCCGGGTTTGACGGTATATTCAACTTGATCTTGAAGAGACTCAGCATGAAAGTGCAGTCTCTTCTAACCGCTATCTTCAACAGATGTTTGGAACTGCACTACTTTCCAAGTATCTGGAAAGTAGCAAAAATCATACCAATCCGCAAACCCGGTAAGGATCCAACATTGCCTTCAAGCTACAGACCAATCAGCCTCCTTTCAGCGCTGAGCAAATTGTTCGAGAAACTCATGCTCAATCGTTTGCTCAAGTTTGTCGAGGAAAATAACATTCTCCTTCCGGAACAGTTTGGATTCAGAAAGGGGCACTCTACCAATCACCAGCTAGTACGGGTGATGAATAACATCCGAAGTAACAAAGCTGTATCCAAGTCCACAGCCATGGCCTTGTTAGACGTTGAAAAGGCGTTTGACAATGTTTGGCATGATGGACTTGTGTACAAGCTTTGTAACTTCAACTTCCCATTACATCTGGTTAAAATCACCCGTAACTACCTTCAGCAAAGGTCGTTTAAGGTATCGTTGAATGGTTGTCTTTCCGACACGTTTTCCATCCCAGCAGGAGTGCCGCAAGGCAGTCTGCTGGGCCCCTTGCTTTACAGCATTTATACTTCCGACATTCCTCCCCTTGGAGACGGTTGCGTGTTCTTCCTGTTCGCAGATGATACCGCAATAGCCGTCAAAGGAAGGATGCCTCGCGAAATAACGAACAAACTTCAACGATGCCTTAACGCCTTTGCTGATTATGCCACCACGTGGAAAATCAAAATCAATCCCTCCAAAACACAAGCGATCATGTTCCTACATCGGCAATCGCCCAAACTGAAACCTGCTCCATCTTGTACTGTAATCATGGATGGCACAAGGGTTGAGTGGTCCGCCGAAGTAACCTATCTCGGGATGTTGATCGATGAAAAACTCCTCTTCCGTTCGCATGTAGAGAAAACTGTAGTCAAGTGTTCTACCTTGGTTAGGTGTCTGTATCCGCTGATTTGCCGCAGATCCCGCCTCTCAAGGGTGAACAAACTGGCCGTCTACAAACAAATCATAGCACCTGCGATCCTCTACGCAGCTCCGGTGTGGGAATCATGTGCACAGACTCACAGGAACAAAATTCAGGTCGCTCAGAATAGAGTGCTGAGGATGGTTCTTGATCGTCCTTTCGACACTAGAATAACAAATTTACATGAAGAGGCAGGCATTGCCAAAATAGATTCCAAAATTAACGAAATTAAGACTAAATTTGCACAAAAATGTAATTTATCAGAACATGCTTTGATAAGGAATTTGTATATAGTAGGTTAGGTGTATATAGTAGTTGTAGGTTAGTTGTAGTTGTAAATAGTAGTTATAAGTAGACTCCTTTTTCCAATTCAAATCATACCAATCCCACCAAGGTGGTCATACTTTAAAATAGGCCTGATAGGACTAGAAACTGTAAATAATAATTAAAATCTCACTATACTAAAGTTGAAAAGACGCATCTGTGTCACTTGAAAAATTCATACATGTAAACCACACAAACACAAGAAATAAAGATCATTTAACTGTCAACGTGCAAAACAAGAGTTCTTTTCCGACCAAGCACCAGCAAACATCAGCAGCAGTAGAAGCAGAATTTGTAGAGAGAAAGAGGAGAGAATAAACAGTTGTTAGCGTAGCCGTCCCGATCAAGTTTATTTTGCACACATCCCTGGTTTGGAGCAGCGTCGAACCCACCAGCTCTTTTCAGAGCCCTTACGAGGATTTCCGATCGACGCTTGCTTCCTCCACCACCCTGCCGGTACAGTCCACTACCAAAAGGGAAAGTTCCCTCCCAGTCCGAACATAATTTGGTCCATCCGAACCGGATCACGAGCCAAGAAGCTTTCGCCGTGAAAGTTTACGCATAGATGTTCCTGCCAACTGGAACGAAGCCGATTTCCCACCGAAAGAAACGGACCTGCTACGCTAGCCAAGTACCAAACAAACAAAACTACTTCCGCTGCTGCCGATGACAGCATCGTGTGCGAAGTATACAAAAAAGTGAATCATATGAGTGAGCGCGTTCGCGAA